CAAATTTTTTATGAATACATAAAATGAAAGAACTAAATACAACAATAGTGATATACAAACTAAAAAACAAAAATTTTGTTTTTATTTTTTTTTTTAAAAAAAACAAATAAAAAAGTGAAAAAATAAAAAAAATAAAAATAAAAACATTAAAAAAAAAAATAAAAGAATAAAAATGGAAAAAAAGAAAAAGAAAAATGAATTAAAAACAGAAAAAAATAAAAAAAAAACGAAAAATTAAAATTAAAATCAATCAAAAAATTTATTAAAAAACATCTTGGAGTAAAAGCCAAATTAAAAATTAAAAAAAATACTTTCAAACATTAAGGTCGGCTCCTGGCCGGCCATGATCATGAATCTAATTGTTATTAAAGAAAGCTAATAATTGTTCCATTAAAACAAATTCCAGTTGTTTTATTTTTTTAACCTTTAAATCCCAAATGTCTTGCACAAAAAGTTTCAAATCCAACTTCTTCGAAACATTTTTCTTTATTATTAAGGCAAGTATACTTAGATAATACAAAAAATTGTTTTGAGTAATTTTTTTGCATAAATTCATTGTTTCCATATTGTTTCAAAACAATATTGTCGAAAGAAAAGTTTGAGTTATTTCGTTATTAAATATTATTAAAGTTAGTCGTCGTACAAATAAAAAATGTGTATCACATTCAAATATAAATTGAACTTCATATTGCATTTGTACTAAAAATAAACTGTAAAAAAATGATGTAATTTTACTGTATGTCTAACAAATTTTCAATTCCCATTTTCTCAAAAAGTAAATATTCCTTGGAGGTAGTCCATGACCCATATGTATGTTTAAAAATATCTTTTGCAGCAGAAAGAGCAGAAACTGTCCTAATTTTCTTTTTTTTTAGGCATGATAATGATCACTTCGGTTTTCCATTTCGAAGAAAACCATTCCAAATCAAACTCATTATATCTTATAAAAAGAAGAAACGAACTTTAATGACACCATTTTCTTTAATCATCCAGTCGAAGAAGTTATACATGCGAAAATAAATGGAGAAACAACATAAAATGTCGTTAAGACAGACAAAATCTATTTTTAATGCGCGGATTGTTGATGTGACCAAACTTAAAACTCAAATTATATTTACCGGAGTTTCCGTCCTTTTTGCAAAGCCCACTTGGTTTGCGCCAATTTTATAAATTAATCATTTTTGGAAACAATTCCTTGGTCAGATTTTTAAATACAATCGCATTTAGTAAATTTTCAAACAACCTCCTTAAATTGGGTTTATAGTAACCTTATTTGGTTTGGTTTTTATTAAAAATTTTGTGCGCGCAAAAACTCGGAAGCAGATGAGATGTTAAATATCAGTTGATCTACATAAGCAGAACCTAAATGGGACTGAGTGCGTCAGTTAAAAAAGCGTAATTTCTTTTTTTAATTTTTTGAGCTGTTTGTACACAAATGACAAAAAAAACCAGCTCACTCACATGATTCGTGGTTAGATTATCTGGTCAGAAAAAGTTAGCAAATTTTTTAAACGAAACAATGATTGCACATCATTTCTTAAGATATTAGAACATTGTGTTTTGCGAGTACAATAAAAAAAAATAAATAGAACTATAAAATAACATAAAATGATCGGCAAAGTCAAATTGGGAAATTTTGAAATTTTCGGAATTTTAAATGCGATTGGATTTTTCTTAAAAAAAAAAAAAATAAATAAATAAAATTACCCATTGAAGATCAAATTCTTAAATTTCGCGTTATGAATTCAAAAAATTGCCATAGCTTCTTTTTAACGATCTTGCCCGTTATTATCGTTCTTTTATCATTATCATGCTATTCAATAGAATTTGAAAATATCGGCACATATCGAACTAAATTCTATCAATTGGTCATAGATCGTTATCCTGATGGGACCATTCTAATGCTTGATGAAGCTAAAGATACTGATAGGACTTATGGAAATTCCAGCATTTTTGTTAACAGCGTTAGATTACTTCATCCAAACAAAACTATAAATTATTTGTACGCTTTTACCAAACTGTGCCCATATATAAATCAAAATTGTTTTATTAAAACAATCATACCATTTAAAGCAAATCATGTTCTAATGATTTACATAAATGAGCTTAGCCAATACAATGTAGTGATATCGGACTGGTCCGACAAGGTTATTTTGCAAGATACATCGATTAAATTATCGAACTTTGAAATTGGAACTCCACAAATCATTCAAAATAATTTTTACGATGAATATAGGTCATTATTTTTAGTCTCCGAAGGAAATAATTTGTTTTATAAAGAATACAATTACAAACAAGAGTGAGTATTTGAATTTATATTATACAATTAAAATATATGTCATTCTAACGGATTTTCTCCATTGGAAAGTGATGGCCAATTTGTTATATATCAAGAAGGGAATATTACTTTTGAACCAAATTTAATAGTATATACGGATATCTCATTTTCGACAAAAGAAGGCTATGGAATTATATCTTACGTCCATGATAGAAATTATTTCAATGGGGTGAATCCAACGTATCTTACATTAATACAAACCGAATTAAATGCAAATAAAATGAGTCATCTTAATTTGACCAAAGTGACTTCAACGTTCATTAGGAAAACAACATGTAAAGCTGATCTGAAAATCAATTATAAATATTCTTGCTTGATACTATCGATCGATCAGCAATTTATATTGGCGGAAATCGATTATTTAACTTCAATTAATGATTTTGAAGTCAAAACGAAAAATTTAACAATTTATATTGATTACGATTCTGCCCTTATTGAATTTCCGGCCTCGGGAGTTGATTTTATGATATTTTTTTACTTACGAGCATCAAAATCAATAAACGTGGTATTATTTAATGCTAACGTTAATGATTTTATAACATCAGAATTTTATGGAGGGTCTTTGAACTTTTATTCTCATTCTGGAGGCGCTAGAAGGATCCTTCATGATAAAGAATTAATAATAGCAGCCGATATTGATGAGCATACATGGAATTTACAATCTATAAACATATCCCAGTTTATTCCTGAAAGTGAGTATATTTTAGATATTTTGGAAATTTTTTCATTAAAAAAAAATATATATATATAATTTTTTTTAATAACCATTTACATTTTTTTTTTTTTTTAGCTAATATGCTTAATAATCTTCATATTAAAAAAACTTGGCCCTTATGGAATGAAAGCATTTATATTGATACAAATATGATAAACATCACTTTTGTCCATCCAATCGAGTTAACGAATAAAGAAGTATATGCATCGATTTATCTTTATAATGATGGGGAGTATATGTTACGTCAAAGATTTAAATGCATAAGCCCTGAATGTACTCTTAGCAAAGATAGATATTCTTTAAATATGACTATTAAAGAGACAACTTTTAGTATCCCTGAAATGGTCTATCATATTGAAATAGGTGATGAATTTGCCGAATTTAGAAATATTAATCAACTTCTACCTGGCATCAAAAAAGAAGATTGGCCTATACGCATCTTATCTAGTTTGTATCTTTAAATTTGCATTCATTTTTTAAGCAACCTTTATTAAATTCATTTTTTTTTTGCAGATGAACTTGAACCAAAACCTAAATCGAAGTTATCTGATCAAACACCTGGTAAATAATTCATCGGTCACGTGAAATAATGAATTGAATAATTTTTAAATTTTTATCTCCACTTTTAGAATTCACTATTGGGTCCATACGTTTAAACGTTATGGGTACAAACCATTTTAAGAAGTTGAATGATGTTGAAAAAGAAAATTTCATCGAACAGATGAGAATAGAAATTTCAAAAAGTATTCCAGTCGATGGCCAAAGAATTACTTATTTAAAGCATTTCGCTAAATATAAAGAAAATGCACTTTTTATTGCATTTAAAATACATCCCCCAAATGAAAATAATTTTAACAAAAAAAGTTCAAAAGATGTCTTTATGGATTTTGTTAAATTACTTGAAGTTAATGACTTTACGACAGCTTTAGATATTTATAATAATACACGGTTTATCGATAAAAAATTTGGATTTGAACCAACAAGTAAATATTAATTTTATATAAATCCTTTCTTTTAACGTAATAATAATATATATATTCTCAATCGCTTGTATTTAGGTAATCGATGGGAGGAGATTAAAATGATTGTGCAAAGCTACTTTGATCCAATAACCATAGGACTTATCGTATCACTCGCTTTCCTGTTGACTAACTTGTATTTTTTTGGTAGATATAAAAATAGAATGGTATATTTTGTTTTTGATGTAGATCGTTACGAATTTGTAAAAAAAAAAAAACTAATCCTTTACTTAAACTTTCACAGGGATGCAATGCGATCGTATTTAAAGCTGCTCTTATTATTCTCGATATTGTAAACGATATTTCATTTATTGTAACAAATGAAGAATATTTGCAAAAGTTATTAATTCCAAGGTAATAAATAATATTAATCATTCAAATTATAATGGAATATTATTAATTTAACTATTTTTTTTGTAGCATTGTGTTTATCATTTGTCCAATTCTTATAAATACATGCTTAGCTTTTTACATATTCATATTTGAGACAAGAAAGAATCCTAAATTTGCTGATTGGTTTAGAGAGAATTCGAAATTAGCCGCGATAATCACATTATTTAGTTCGGGAAATATTGAACTACTTCATTTGATTGATTCCAATTATGCAGGATATAAATTATTTTCTGCTCCATTTTCTTCAAAAGCATTATGTTGGATATTTTGGGGTGGTTTTTCGAATATTCTTATTGAAGACTTACCGCAACTAATAATTCAGGTGAGATTTTAGAGTGGGAGTTTTCCCATAACTTTCATTTTTATTATGTATTAAATTTATTCTACTTTTATAGATAATATATGTCGCATCTTGTAAAAAAGGATATAATATATTTGCTTTATCAGCTTTGGTTACCGGATTTGTAATATTATTAATAGATGTAATCGGTTTTATTTATGATTTTATTGCAAAGAGACAGAATATGTATTGAATAACTACGGACTTAGGATTTGTTGCTGGTCAATGAAAGAGAATTTGAAGGATATCAATTAATTATTAAACTACTTTATATTTAAGATACGCTTATTCTGATATATAACAAAAATGGGCAATTCAAAAAAAAAATTACATTAATTAGTAATTTGAAATTAATATATTTTAATCATTTAATATTTTATACATTTTTTATTATGAACTAGATTAGGTTGGTGCACGGCGATTTCGTCGCCGCTGGGTATGGTTATTAGAATCTCGATTTAATCGCAATTATCATTTCTCAAGATTCAATTAATCGAATATAATAGATTAACCCATTGAGTTAGGTGCTTGAGAACACCCTAAATAAATTAATTCCGAAAAATAAAAATACTGTAAATTAAAAAAAAAA